CGAGCTGTAAGAGGAGTCGAAATAAACTAATATTTCTCTACCCGTTATTTCTAGGTCTGTTTGGCGGGGCTGGTGTAGGAAAGACTGTACTGATCATGGAGCTGATTAACAACGTAGCCAAGGCCCACGGAGGTTACTCTGTGTTCGCTGGTGTAGGAGAGAGGACCCGTGAGGGTAACGATCTCTACCATGAGATGATTGAAGGAGGTGTCATCTCCCTCAAGGACGACACATCAAAGGTAACCATAAACTAATAAAAGTGTAGTGCTCTTCATTGTCCGTATTTTGTAAGGTCCAAATTAGTACTATTAGGGGTCGTTGATGCACCCAGCTACTCCCCCCCCCCCCTATTCCTTGCATATTATTTATGTGCTACTAGGTTTTTGTTATTGTTTAATTTTTTAATCTTGGGCAGTTCACCTCTTTATAACTATCTTCCAGAGATCTAAGTGGTTTTAGCAGGTTCAGTTTAATTACAAAGTTATGCATTAAGCACCTCCATTTTTTCTCGATTTATTTTCCCAAAGTGCACAAAGTTGGGACTTTTCTTTTTAAAAGATCTGTAGATTTTTGGGATCACCTGACCATGTGCTAACAACAAACCGGTCAATTTTATTTACTGATTTAATTTGCTCTGCTGACACACAGGTAGCGTTGGTGTACGGACAGATGAACGAGCCCCCTGGCGCCCGTGCCCGTGTCGCCTTGACCGGACTGACCGTTGCCGAATACTTCCGTGACCAAGAGGGACAGGATGTGCTGCTCTTCATTGACAACATCTTCCGCTTCACACAGGCTGGATCAGAGGTGAGGTTGCACGACTATCCTCCCAAGACGGGATTTCCCCCAAGATATGGGGACTAATTGAGCTTTTGTATATTTGTAGTGTTGAGTCATGTGCATCCATGCTATACCAAATGGACTTGCCTTACAGATTTTGTTAAAATCTTCTTATCTGTGTTCACACGGAAGTATTCAATTTATGAATGAGGGATCTACATGTTATTTTTGGTTATCATGTGGGTAACTAGGTTACAATTTTACTATTACTCATATTGATATAATACAATTAATATTTCACATTAAATTATTCAGTACTTAATCGTGGATATTATGCTCCTTACATGGGTTTTTAAGGGGATGTTTGTTAGAAATTCTTTGGAATTTAGACACCTGTCCTGTTATTTAAAAAAAAAGACGTTGATTTCTACAAGCCTCATGGAAGTCCACCATATATTTTGAACATGTCACCTTATATCACGTGCAGGTATCTGCTCTGCTGGGACGTATCCCATCTGCTGTAGGATACCAGCCAACCCTGGCCACTGACATGGGTACTATGCAGGAGCGTATCACCACCACCAAGAAGGGATCCATCACCTCAGTACAGGTCAGTAAGCAGTCAGATTCTACTACAGTCAAACCTGCTTTAGTGACCACCTGTCTACAAAGACCACCTGTCTATAAAGGCCACATTTTTTGTTTCCCTTGAAAATGGTTTCATTTTGAATCATGTACTAAACGAACCTGTCTACAAAGGCCAGTTGCTATACACAGGTTTGACTGTACATAGGGTTCTACAGTCTATCTGTCTATTGGGAGCCAGAAGCTGAAGGGTGTCAACTTTGTGTGTCTGAGTATATGACTTAATGCTCTTCCGGCTCCAAACAGATGGTATATGCTCTAGCTACAATTTTCTTGTAGTAACCAAATTCTCAACTTTAACCCTGGACCAAACACAATACCGTACTATAAACCTAACCTAAAACCAACTTGGAACTCTAATCCTATATCTTTAATATAAAGCCTGGAACAATGTTGCCATAGCGAACAAAGTGTAACATAGCTTTGAGTCTGTAATATTTTTGTATTGATTGGCGTGAAGGAGGGGAACCATAGTTGTAACTCTTTGTTTGATAAAAAGCCAGAAGGGAAAGAATTCAAAGATGTCATCCAAATCGAAGGAACATTTGATGTATATGTTCATTCTCACACAGCATCAGGTTTTAAGATGTGTCTTTCTACATGCTTTTTTAGAATACTTGATGGATGACTCACATCTGTATCTCTTTGGCATTTCCTAGTATCAACTAACCAGGGTCTTTGTCTAACTACCAATCCTTTGAAATCAACTACCCATGCTTCTGTTTGATTATCAATCCTTATGTGTCTTCAGACACAACCCAATACTCCCATATCCTTTAATTACCCATCATCTATATCTCTTTTCACCAGGCCATCTACGTGCCCGCTGATGATTTGACTGACCCTGCCCCTGCCACCACCTTCGCCCATTTGGACGCCACCACTGTGTTGTCCCGTGGTATCGCTGAGCTGGGTATCTACCCCGCTGTGGATCCTCTGGATTCCTCCTCCCGTATCATGGACCCCAACGTCGTCGGAGAGCGTCACTACGGCATCGCTCGTGGAGTGCAGAAAATCCTCCAGGTGAGCTAACCAACCCTCTTGAACTGGGGGGCATTTCACAAAACTTGGAGTTAAAGTATGCTGTGTGTGGTGTATGTCATTAGCAAACAACGTGAAGAAATGAATGAACTCGAACCCTTAAAAGCTAGACATCCATTATTACATCATGGACTGTAGTATTATAATGAGTCTTGAAGTAAGATTGAATAAGATCGGATAATGAAAATTTGAATGTTGTTCCTTTGACTTGAAAAGATAATATCTGTTTTATAAATAGTTCAAATGGAGCCAGGCCACATGATATGAAAAAATCCAACACCCCTATTAATTGAGAAACTTGTAATTGTTTGTGAATTTCCATTTCACCAGCAGTTCTTTTCTTGCAATTTAGAACAAGACCCTTACACAGTATACTTCATTGTGTTTGAGTGTGTCCATCTTTGAATGTCAATGTTAACTTCGTGCTTTTTTTTTCTGCTTCTCCAGGACAACAAGACCCTGCAGGACATCATCGCCATCTTGGGTATGGACGAGTTGTCCGAGGACGACAAACTGACCGTGTCCCGAGCCAGGAAGATCCAGAGGTTCTTGTCCCAACCCTTCCAGGTCGCCGAGGTCTTCACCGGCAGTCCAGGCAAGCTCGTCTCGATGGCAGAGACCATCGACGGATTCGAGTCCATTATCAAGGGTAAGAGCTAGTACCGGTAGATAATAGTGGAGTTGAGGGACGTTTGCTCTGCTCACCATGGCTTGCCTACATCTGATTAAGGCTGTTTTTGTCATAGATGTAGAATTAGGGATGCAGATGGACTTTCTATAGCTTTCGGTTTAAAAATGTGATACAGTTAGAAATAGTATTATGGGCAGGGTTGAAATTCTGAGTTTGACCAGTGTAAGAAATTTACTGCAGAGCACGTGTCCGTCAAGCATATTGCTGCGATGTTCATGCAGTCACACAAATGCGAATGACCAGTGACATGTTAAAAATTATAGGTGCTTGGTCATGTTCGCTTGCTTGTAACTAGTCCTCTGATCAGGATGTTTGTCGCAATTTTATAAAACAAAAGTTACTTACCAAATTTGCATATTGCCAAAATAATCACTTTTTTCCACCACTTTATCTGCAGAGAGCCAGAAGGATTTTAGCTTTATGTTAAGGGCAATTAAATATTTTAAAACCCTTCTGGCTCCCGACAGAAATTGTAATGTATCACTTTGTCAGAAGCATGCTATTAATTTTGTTTTTATTTCTTGTTCTTTCTTTCTCTCCCCAGGCGAGTGCGACCATCTACCAGAGATTGCTTTCTACATGGTAGGCAACATCCAAGATGTCAAGGATAAGGCCGACAGGCTCGCAGAAGAACTATCATAAATTATCCCCCCTCCCCCCAAACAATGAAATTTAGAGCTGGCATGGCTACGGGTCCAAGACACCCCTCTTGATTGTTGTTATTCAGGGCTAGTCGTCTAACACTGCCCGTGCCTGGGCCCAAAGAATTTATGTTCAGAGTTATAACTTATATCAAGATTGTTTTCTAAATTGTAATTGTGAAAAATTGAGAGCGAGGGTATTCCAACCTAGCGTAGTTTTGTCACATGAATCTGTCATTTTCCTTGTTTTTTTGCTTGTTATCCACAATAGATTGTAAATGCACAAACAGCTTGGCAAAGTTTGTAAATTTGATCATAACCATTTATCACAATTTAAGGCAGTACCTTCATCACATTGGTGTGTCACTGATGTCTGACTTCCATCTATCTTGTCTGCTCTAATCTTATTAGAAATTGGCCAATGTCCAAACATTTCCAATGTAGATATTGACATATCTTCACTTGATTTCTGTGTAGAGCCGTTCACCTATGACAGATGATTGGCATTTATTTTGAATGGATGTTATAGAGCTTTACTGAACCCAGTTGCGATTGTGATTTCCTTGTGTGAACAGAATCGCAACTGACCTTGAAAAAGAAAAACAAGTGTATTAAAAATTATTGGAAGGTTCAAGAACCAAAGCGAAGGCCTGAACTAGTATTTTTGTTCAAGTTTGTAATTGTATTCTAGAAAACAAGGCAAGGAAGAATAAAAGGAACTACAAATAGTAAAGGAGAGATGATATAGAGACAATGGAAAAAGAGCAGTATAGAAAGGAAAGGAGGGAATATACAAGAGTTCAAAGAGAGAAAGGGAGAAGAGAGGAAGTTGACGAGTGAAAAGGAGAAGAGAGATAAAGAGAAAGGAAGTGAGGCAGGACTAGAGGGTGTGAGCAAGAAAGAAAGAAAAAAGAGAAATGAAAAAGAGTACAGAGAGGAAAAGAAGAGGGCTTAACAGAGACGTTACTTGCAGGGAAGCAGAGAGAAAAGATAATATTGTTAGAAGATTAGTATGGCTGGAAAGATAGGGGAAGGGTGCAAGAGCTCGGAAAATGGAGTGCGAGAGATATCAAGAGAAAAATGTGGAGGGAAATTTGGAAAGAAAGGAAATTAGCAATAAGAAGGAGGCCATGAGATACAAGAGGCAAATGATCTTTCAAAACGAACAAGACAACTGACAAATCAATCAGCAATAAGTAAAATTTAAAGGAACTATTGCCTCATTTATTCATGAAAATACTTTCCTCTCCACCAGAACCAATAATGTACATGTATGATGTAACACCTTTGCCTATTACAAATGGTAGGAAAAAGATAAGAAAATATTGTTCACTGACTTCATTCGCATTTGGTGGGTGTTTATATTGAGACAATTTAATTCAATAAATAAAATTGATCGGTGAGTATTCATTCACAAGGCAACAATAATTGCATATACATTCATCACTATAAATTTTGGACGGTTTTACTTTAATACATACATGTATAATGGAAGTAATCTTATTTACAATATATACAGTAAAATGTTCTATACAGCAGTGAATACCTTGCATCTAAATATTTACATTTTATTTGCGAAGAGCTGCATTTAATTTTACATAGTTAAATTCCCTTCTGGCTCGCGACATGATTGATCGATACAGCGTGCATATGTTTAAAAACTGAACAAGCTAGCATATACTATCAGCAGTTTTAAGTATCTTCTCAAAATATACTCAAGAACTTTCGGAGGGGAAAAAGATCAAACACTATAACATAAGTAACATGTAATATGCACATGTGCAATTACAATATCTAGGAAGACGATACAACAAGGTTTCTTCCAGCTTTTATAGAGAATGTACTGCAGTGTCAACTGATTTCTTATTTTACTAAGCTATTATTCAGGTTTCATCTACTCCCCCAACGATTTGATGAGATCTATGTGGGCACCATCATACTCTGTTACTTATACATATACCGTAAACTATAATTTTTTATCAGACTTCCCAGTTCTTGACCCATTGTATTTGTATGGGAACCGGAAGTGCCTTTGCCAAATACGCTCGTGGCAGGTGCTGCCCTCTATGGCCAAATACTGTAGTTGCGGTAGCTAGAATTGGGAAATAGTCAACCTCAAGACTAGGCACAATACAACATGTCACAATTTCAATTGCCCTATTCTGTCTAGTGCATCAAGTTATTCCACTGATTTATGAAGCGCTGAATGCCAACCTTTTCATCTGTAAATTAAACTGGGCAAATGGTATTAAACGTGGCTGGGTCGGCTACAATTTTACAGAAATTATTCTTCAACTATTGATTTAAAGAAGAGGGCATTTTGTGGAAAAGATCTTCAACAACCAAGCACATTGATCTCTTGACACAGAAGTTTTGATAATACAGTGCCCATTGTGTTCGAGAAAAGACTAGATTCTGTTCTTCATTTGTTCTGCCATCTCCATGCATTGTACATGTATGTGGGAGTGTATGGAATTGAAACCATACCTCTTGCATAAATGAAAATGAATACCTTCCAATAATACCCAGGCGGTGTATCGATATCACTGCATACCTGACCAGTCACAAAGGTCACATTGGGTACACTAAAAGCTCCTATGACGCAGAGTTTGCACAGAAATAGAAAGAGAGAGAGAAAGAGCATGAGGAAGTGAGAGAATGTAAAAGAGAGATAATCCAAAAGAGAAGAAGAAAGCAGAGAAAGAGAAAGACAGAGAGAGAGAGAGAAAGAAAGACAGAGAGAGAGAAAGACAGAGAAAGATATTGACCAATGGAATAGCTACAGTCAAACAGCAAGAATGAGGTGGGGAGAGAAGAAGGGGAAAAGAAAGAAAAGTAAGTGGAAATTTAAAGGTAGATAATGAGATGAAATATAAATGGGGCAATACATGTGACCAATTTTTAAAGAAGAACAAAAAATGGCCAGTGACACCTTTACATCAAGTAACAAACTATTTACTTGGGCCGGCGTAATGAACAGGGTAGCCACATCAAGTATTAATACCACACCATCTGTGCATGGCAAATATTACCCCAGTCTCCAGCATTGCCAGGTATCCATTTTTAATACACCTGGGACAAAAAGTTGGCACAACATCTTGTGCGAAGATGTACATTGTAAGAACTCTTCAAGGATCACAATCCAGACTTCTCATACGAGAGTCAAGAGCCTTCACCACAGTGTACCCAATAGTGCGTGGAGCACTTTTACAAAAAATAAAAATATTATCACTGTATCCAGATGACCAACCGATGGCTTCCTCACAACATTTGATCAGCCTTCCTTTTGAATAGTTGTTTGCTCTGTATCTATTAACAATGTACATGTAACTCAAGACTTATACAGGTCGGTAAGAAAGGAGTTAAAGTAAGAAAATGAATTTGTTCTTGTCCTGAGACACCTCATCATTTGTTCTTTTTTCGTTAACCTAATGAAAAATTAAAGCAACATGAAGTAATACTGGTTTAACAATTGAGTAGCGAATCAATGGCCATGGTGGTGTTTGCTCTGTACCCCATTAACAATGTACATGTACATGTAACTCCATACTTATACAGGGGCAGAAAAGAGTTGAAGTAAGAACATTTATTTGTTCATGTCGTGAAGTCATGTAAAACCCTTTATTTCTTTATACTTCAGACACCTCATCATTTGTCCTTTCTTTTTGACCTGATGAAATAGCAAACCAACATGAAGTAATACTGGTGTAACAATGGAATAGCAACGCAATGGTCTTGGAATACTTCTGAAGTTGGTGGAGGATGCGCACATTATGCAAGAGCTCTCAGCTATCAAAGTGAAGACCACTCTTTTTGACAGATCTATAACATCCTTTATCAGGAACGTCATGTATATATAGCAGAACGGTGTCAAATTTCCCAGGAAAAACCAAGATCATGTGTCTTTAGTGGAATATGCTACAAGATTTGGGGGCAAAATGAACCAAAAAGACCACAGCTTTATATTCCAGAAGTTCACCAACATTAGCAGGAATCAGGATGCCATCAAAATACCAGGGTTGGCGGACGGAGGTCTGCTGTCGTCGTTTATCCACCTGAGAGGGCGACAGAGCACATATTATAAAGATCAGTATTTTCACCAGAATGCAAGCAATACAATACCAGGTTATCCACCACAGGCATACATAGAGATTGTGCAGGGCTGGAGCGAGTGCAAGGCTATACACAGACATTAATGAGGAGAATGCACATGCTAAAAGGGTAGAGCTGTATGCGAATTCAGGAAGCAAGTGAAAAAGGTTAAGTTGCGTAAGAGTAATCAGTGCCAATGTAGTCATGAACTAGGGCCCTGTTTGATCATTGTTATAAGCTACTAAAATCCTTGCATTTGATTGGCTATTAGCAGATTTGTCATGGATTTGTGGCAGTTTTTATTGTATAACCAATATTGAAACTTAGCTTTAATATCTTATCTTTTATCGTATTTTATCCGTATAAACATCTAAATGTTATCCCACCTACGTATCACGGTTGCAATAAACCTGTAAATTGTTAACTATCAAATTTCTATTTCATGCTAAACGAACATCAATTTTATATCATCAATGAAACTGTAAATCGTATTTAAATATACACAATATTTGTTAAGTGTTCTATATATTTTAATGTGTTATCAATGCAATGTTATGCCATGTACTTTTTACTCTTTAAATTGAACAATTTCATCTTTTAGCTGCATGTCCGATGATTTTTATCTCAATAAACCAATACAATACAATACAATACAATAACAAGTTTTATGAAACAGCTATAGGGCTCAGATTTAAAAGAAAAGCAATCCCATAAAGCATGTTGCATGAAAAAAATTGCATGAAAAAAATTGCCATTGATATATCATGGGAGTAGGCATACTTGTACATGTAGAATAGAAGTACTTGGATGACATCAATACAGAGTAGTCAATAGAAGAGTATATAAGTATGGCAGGTTGGTGCAGGGAATTAATTGAGAGGGCATGTGCAACTGAAACAGCCAACTTGAAAACACATATTGCAGGAAAAAAAAAGAAATCCTAATTACGAAGCGTGCAAAGGCACACAATTTGCAGTGCAGGAGTAAGGCAAGATGACGATAGTGCAAATAAAAACCTCAGATACAAAGGACACAAAGTAAAACAACCCACAAAGACAATGATAGCTGACTGATAACAGGTGCAGGTGAACTCAATCATGGAAACCAAGATGTGTAGATATGATACATTTCCAGTTATGAAGCAAGTGAGGGTATAGCCACATAAATGTTATAGCAGATAATGCAACATCATCATGAAAAGTGACAAGAACTTGGGAACAGCCAGCAAAAAGGCAGAGCATTGGCAGACAGAGGTTGTCAATGGCATGGGAAGTCAGAGACAGAACACATGGAATGCGAAATACAAGTACCGTATTAAAGCCATTAGGGCCCTGTTGCATAGCACTTACCATCGATGGTAACTTGATCTGCCATTAATATCAACTACCATGGCAACATAACAGCCAATCAAATCAAGCTATAGGTTTCCATGGAAGTTACCATTGACAGTAAAGCTACCATTAACGCTGAGTTTTTTGCAATGGGCCATAGTGTGGTCTATAACAATAAAAGCACATAGTGAAACATCATAGAAATTGATGAAGAAGTTGGGATGGAGAGAAAGAATGCAGAACATGAGCAGAAAAGGTTATTTTTTAAATTTGTTACTAGAATGAGAAGTCAGAGACAGCACAAAAGGGATGTGAAATACATTTTTATAATAAAGAAGTGATCATGAAAGTGTATTAGCACGAAGTACACAGAGACCAGTCTAAATACATTAAATGCAGGTGCTTTGTTATCTGAATGTCCCAGACTAGATAAATTTTTAAAGCAAAACTAGAGCTCTAGTGAACCAATATTTCTCTTTCAATTACATACTAGTATACAAATTCTATGAGTACTGTACACATAGGGATGGAAGATACAGATCAAAACCAGCATACAAATACGTTCTCAAAGATAACTATATTCTTTTAAAACAGTATTCATGAAATGATAGAAGTTTAGTGTTATTGTAGCAACATACATGTAATCAACAAAGCATGTATTGCTCCACACTAACAATCTTTCTTTAATTTTTTAATTTTTTTAAAATGTAGATAAGGAGAGAGAAATATAAATAGGGTAATAAATGTAACCAATATTTTTCAAAAGCAGTCTAGACAGATGGAGTCCCTAGATAATTTTGAAATGTTGGGCCCCTTTTAGTGTCAACCCTAGCCATAATCAGTGCCAGTACCACACTGATCGTTTCTGTGCCCCTTCAGAAAAGACTTGTATAATTCAAATGCGAGGAAAAAAATTATGCAGTTTCTCTTTGAGCACACAGAATATCAAAATTTCATTGTAAACTGTGTATTCTAGTCCCCTTTGGCAAAAGTAATAGATAATGAGGAAGGTGAATAAGTTTAGGCAAAATTCTATTCAAGCATGCAGAATGATATTATTTGTTCACAATGTTTTCTATTCCCATTTAGCAAATGCACAGATAATTTAAGAGGCAAATAAGTTCCTGCAAATTTCTATCCCAGTGCGTAGAATTACAAAATTTCATTGTACACTGTGTATTCTAGTCCCCTTTAGCATATGCAAAGATATTTTCTACGGCAACTAAGTTTAAGCAAGTTTCTCTGTGAGAGCACTATAGCTGACAATTTTTAGATGATAATTATTTTGCTTAACACTCTGCAATTTTAAGTTTCTACTACCTGTTTTAATGCGATAAGCTTTTAAGAAATGTTAGATAGTACCTTCAGAAACCATTGGAAAATAACCAAGGATTGCTGTAATCTTTCATGTATGTGGTAGTTGGGTTAGGATACATGTCGATTGCACTGAGAGGGTACAGGCAGGGAAAGTACAGGGTGAGAGTTAGGATGTGTTAAGGGGTGCGAGAGATGGGTGTTGCTAGAAAGGGTGATGGAACAGTTATTCAATAGAAACAAATATAGATTGAATTTTTGTACTGCAACATCATTCCTTCTTCATGAACTAAAGCTTACTTGATCATACATTTTAATTTCTGTTCTCATTTAACAAACATACATCTACTTGCTAGTGCTACTATGTAAATGTACTACTTCTACTATAAAACTTAAGCTTCTGCTGTTAGAACAATTACTACATTTCAATCGACTGATACATTTCTATTTTTATCACAACATGGAAATGAATACTACAGTCAAACCAGCTTTTATAGTGACCACCCGTCTACAAAAACAATTTTTTTTTTTTTCCCTTGAAAATGGCTTCTCATTGAAACATGTACTAAAGGAATCTGTCTACAAAGACCACCTGTCTACAAAGAACACTTTTTGTGTTTCCCTTGGACCGCCGCTATAGACAGGTTTGACTGTACCGTAACTACTTCTACACTCATTTCCAATACTGTTGCTACTACTACAGTACTATTACCAACTGAGGTAAATAGATATCACTTCTACAACTAATTCTACTTTAAATACTATTAATACCTATACAACCACCACCACGACTATGACAATGGCGATAATGATGACCACTACCACTACTATTAATACCTAATACATGTACCACCGCCACCACCACTATTACTATGACCACTACCACTACTATTATCACTACCAATATTACCCCTCTAAAATATAAATTTGTGCAAATGTGCTGTTGGTAGACACTGATTATCCATGCTACTTTACACAACACATCAGTCAAAGGGAGGGGGGTGCACACTGTTGAATCTCACCTGGGTGGGGGAGGGGTAGGAAGGGGCAAGAAGTTTCCATCGGTGAAGGCTTCATAATCATCGTCTGGTTCTACAATCTGACCCTCTGTATGGCAGAAAGATAAAACAACATTACTTGGTGAATTTTCATGGCCTGCATGTATACAGGACTAAGCCTTATTGAAGTATAAGACCTTTTCATGTTAGTTTTTACAGAATTCATGATTGCATAATGTCATTTTGACATAAATGGCTATAAAATCATTCCAAAGTATTATGTGTAACATAACAAAATTAAAACACATACTGATAAACTTCTTTTTTTCTTAGACAAAATTTTGTTTGATGATAGTTTTACAGTTGAACACCTTTAAACAAAAATTTGTTTCCTTCAGACTTTGCATGACTCAACAAAATGGTAACATTTTCAAAGTTTGTTTGATTGCTGAAAAACTTTCAAAATGCATGTTTCGGACAAAGTTTTGGTTTTGGCGGTCAAAAAATGAAGCAAAGGTATTTGTTATTGTTGAACCCTCACAAACAAATATTCAACCTGTTAACACTATTAACAGTATTGAGCCAAAAATGATACAAACAAACAAACACTTTAATTGCCACCTGAAATACGAACTTGTAATATTCTTTTGTTACCGGTATTTAAAAAGAAACTGAAGGAATTGTTTCTCTCCAAATATGCTTGTTAACTTTTGAGGTACATTATAATAGTACTATTTTTGTTAAGAAGAGGCAATGATGTGTATAAATAAAACAATCAAACAAACAAACAAACATAAATGTAGATTCGAAAAATTAAGGAACTCACCATTGACTGAGAAAAGTTCTATGCCTCGCCCTGGGGGTGGGGAGACAGTGTATGCTGACATGACATCCAACTTTCTGTCCCTGGTAGGATTAATCTGACCTATACCGGGCTGAAAGGCAGGAAGGGGTAAAAGAGTTCATAAATATCCGCCTTTCGGATGGTTACGTTAAAGGTCGGTCCTCAGACATAAATATTCATATCTGATTGAAACACGTCTGTAAAAACCCAATCACACACATACGATGAAAATCATAGAAAATAAGCATTTTAATAATGTTACAATACCAGACACTTTCATGCTCATGAAATGTTTGCAATTAAATTTTGCAATTGATGAAATAGGTCTACATCACATGATCTGGCAACAATTGCTATGTGGTCAATTTACTCCCATAATGAAATTCTTGACTTCAACACTAGATCAAACCCTGTACCTAACAAGAACCAGTACCAGAACCTGAAACCTAATCATAAACCTACTCTTAACTCTTTATATGCCACTCAAATAATCTCCCTGTGCCCATCGCATTCATCAAAGGAAAGATATACATGAGATAGATATAACAAAGGTTTCAATGTTATCAAACTGTTTCCAGTGCAAGATATATCTATACCAGTGAAGGGTTTTCATGAAGCACATCAAGACCGAACTGAATTGATGACTTTGCAAAGACACTGTGTTGCATGAAGGAATCTTTCCCTCAATTGGTGCCTATCATTTTGTGCAGAAATGCATGAGCAAATGTACAAAGAGGCAAATAAAGCAATGAAAGTGTTATTTAATGAAATAAAGTTTGGAGTACATGGTGCTGGAGCACTGCCCAAACTCAGGCCATTGCCATACTCCAGAGTAACATGTATTTTTCAGCAAACTTTTTAAGCCTATCTGCACTAGTTTCGTCAGGAAGGATTAGACCTCCCTGCATGGCCACTGACAGGTAGTTATCTCGTCAAATCAGCTCTCAATTAACATAAGAAAAAAAGGGATCGTGGGGGACCAACGATTCCACTTAGGCATTGTTTGCTATATAGAGGGCGCAAGTAGCTACAAGTAATACAGACAGGCTTTAAAGCTTACAGTGAGAAGTGAGAATACTACATACCAGAGGAGGATGTGGTCCCTTGCTGTGCTTGGTGTTGGGTGTTGGCTGGGGCGCCTGGGGTTGGATGGCTGCATTTCTTGACACTTGGCTGCCTGGGGCATCATTCTGGGTGGGAAGAACATGGATTACAGGGAGATTTCATCAATGAAATGTATGTACCTACGGTATTTAATCATTGTGATGGAAAACTTCTGACTCGTTATGTTTTCTGGGGCGTCATTCTAAATAGTAAGAATGACATCAACTCATGAAATAAATCCATGGTTTGAAGCTCTAGAAGCACAGTACATGCATGTCATGATGTCCAATGGGCGAGCATTAATACAGCTACTTACTAATACACGGGCTTATAGAGTGAAAACTCAATTACGACGTAGTTTAGACCATGGTGTAAATTAATTTCCCTCACAAATTGGACTATATAGATTTGGGAGATAGTCTTCTATGATGGAAATGATATATTCTATTCTATTCTAACAGTATTTAAATCGGACAAGATTAGTGTGTTGATACTTACAGCATACGTGACTGTTGCATGGTGGAGAGTGGCAGCTTGCTTCTGTAGCGTTTGTCGGAGATAGCTCTCATCCTTCAAGGCATACATGCTGAAATCAAACAATGTTTTAGAAACAGAATTTTAAAAAATGCTGAAATTCGACAATATCTCTAAGAAAAAAGAAAATTAAAAAAACTATAGGGCCTACCATTTTCTCTCTCTGTCTCTGTAATTAATTTACTTTCATATGAGCTGCAGTAAAATTGCTCTCTCATGGTAGCTTTGCACTCTTTGGTATTAAATATACATCACCTCTCTCTTCTATCTCTGCCTACCCTCCCTCTCTCTCTCTTTCCCCACTCCCCTTCTCACTCATTTTCTCTCTTTCTTGTCCTCTTTTCTTATCTCCGTCTCTCTATAATTTTTCTTTTCAAAAAGTGTCCTTCCAACTTTATATTTCAGTTGTAACAAACCCCCTCTATAACACATTATCTTCTGATAACAAGTTAGTGCTAGCTTAGCAATCTCTTTTATTTGTCTCTATCTCTCTCGTTCCCCTCCCATTTTCTTTTGTCTCAATTTATTTATCCCTTTTTCCATTGCTCTTTCTCTCTCTCTTAACTCATCTTCTCTGCAGCAAGCTAAACATCTTCTCACATAATTTGATTCACTTGGCAAGCTCTTTTTTTAGCCTTGCTCCCTCTTTCTTTTGTCTCACCCTTTATCTGTCTATCTATCCCTTTTCCCTTGCTCTCTCTCTCTCTCTCTCTCTCTCTTAACTCATCTCCTCTGCAGCAAGCTAAACTCCCATAACTTGCTGCTCTTGGCTAGCTCTTTATTCGGCTTGGCTATCTCTCTCCCCTTTTATTTCCCATTCTCTTTCTGCCTAGCTCTTTCTATCTCTTAATTTCCTACCAGCTCTTTCATGTAAACTCACCTTCTCTGCAAGACGCTAAACTTCTTCTCCCATAATTTAGTGCTCTTAGCCAGCTCTTTCTTCAATCTTGCAATTTCTCCTCTCAGATGTTTCTCCAGTCGATTCAATTTGGATATTTCTTCTCCGGACTCTGCTGCCTTTGCAAAGGTTGCTTGTTCCTACAAATAGAATTAAAGCATGATTATCTAATCAAAAGTGACTGTTTTAATTGAGTTGCCAAGCTGATATTCATTTTCAACAGCTGAAGTTTGTGGCACATAGCAGTGTACTACAAAAATGACAAAATCTTGAACCTCAAATGACTTTCAAAAATACTTTTGTATAAATGCTCTATAAATGAATGAATAATTGAATAGGATCAATCTTTACCCTAAATGGAACAGAGTAGAAAAAATTCTTGTGGATGATTTTTTGGCATCAACAACTTTATATCTGAATATTACACATATAGTGACAAATGCAAATTAGCATCAAATTTCCCATCAAGCGTCAAATAACTTTCTACAACTGAATTACAGCTGTTATCAACAAAATCAGAGTGTGGCTCTCGTTCATATGAAAACCTAAAACTATCCCACTTTTTGGTGTGGTATATAAAACTTCAAAGACATGCATGAAAATACGTATATACAAATCTAGAAAACAGCTGGATACATGTAGTTCTTTTCAGATTCATTAACAAAATGGTTCTGGGCTCTCTTTCATGCTCTCCGCTAATCAAATGCCACGATCAGTGGCTTATAACAGTTATTGTAACATAATATTGATAAGTTTTATGAAACAGGGCCTCGTTCTTTATCATCCCTGAGGTCCCTCGATTTGAAAATAAGGAAGAAGTGCCAATATTTACATTCTTTTGGAGTTCCCTCTCTTGCTTCTCTTTCTCCGCCTCAAGTTTCATCCTTGCTTCCTCTGCCTTTTGTGCGTCTGCTGCGTGCTGCTTGGCGAGGTTCAACATCTGAAGGCAAGAAGAAAACAAGAAATAGCTGGAGCATTTCATACCAAATATAGCATATTATAATGGACATAAATAAATTACAGAATTTTATAGACACACAGTTAAAAAACTATTTTATGCGCATAGTGGGCATTTTATACACAGAATTGGGAATTATCATACACAAAAACAGGTAGTTTAGCCATAAACTATGGCATTTCATTCACTGTATAGGATATTTCATATATAACTAGGGCATGCATTAAACAAAAATTAAAAACCTTATGGCATTTCTTACACAAATCAGCCATTTCATACACAATAGAGAGCAATTTAAATACAAAATGGGCATTTTATACACAAAATAGGATGTTTTATACATATGTGAGCATTTCATACACCAAATAGGCTATTTTTTAACAGCGCTCTTTTTTAATACAGATTGCACTGCTATCAAATAGTTTTAACTTATAATCACTGACTTGCTCATGTTTGCACAGGGCCATTGTGTTCAACTACAACGACTGTGCCCTACTGCCTTTATGTATAGTTGAATAAATAAAGATAACGGGCCAGGCAGAGATATCACATGGACCTTGAAACACACATTCAACTGCATGGTCAAAAGATAGTTTAACCAATTGTCTGCTGTAACCAGAGTTACCAGACGGTTCCTATATGAAGCCTTTATAGGAATGAGAGAATTCAGGAGTCAATGGGTGGTATTCTCATAAGATAAGCCGGGACTATAATACTGTTTTCACACTGGCAATATTATGCTTAACCCCGTACAATAGGTGGGGTTAAGGGGGGGGGGGGTCTTAGCCCAACCTATAGTATGGGGTTAAGCCTATTCCACTTTCTGTTCAGACTGGTTTTTACCAAAGTGGGCTAAAGTTGGCTAACCCCACCTATAGTACGGGGTTAACTAACCCTGCAAAATATATAACTCCGCAATTGTGGTGCTAACTCCTGCTAACCCCGCAATTGCGGTGCTAAGCAAATGAATGAGAACAGAAACGAAACATAGTCCGGTACTACGCAATGGAGCGTATCGCAGCTGGCCAGATGCGAAGTATGTCCTATCATAACATACACGATATCCGGGGTTGACGAAATGCAGTGAGAACAGCGGGAATTTTCTTATTCCGGAATAGGCGCTAGTACGGGACTAAAAACAGCGAGTGTGAAAAGCCAAAAAAATAGTCCGGGGTTAAGGATAGTACGGGGCTAAGCAAAGTACGGGGTTAAGCAAAACCAGTGTGAAAAGAGTATTAGTCCAGACTAAACAAGAATTTTAGTTCACACTTCTATGGAATGCTAGGTTTCATCTTCCTCCTTCAATATTCATGACAAAGATAATCTACCAAAGACTTTGTTGAAATTCAGTTCATACTCATATTATCTTCTTCTTTCCATTTCATTCCAAATTAATTTTTTGGACAATTTTCATTGAAGGATTAAAATAATCTGTACAGGGTAAATGAGTTGGCAACAGGCATTCCATAAAAGTGTACACTAACTTAGTACACGCTAACTTAGTACGCGCTACCGGAATACCACCCAATAGGTTTAATTTCTATATTTCATTACTATGTTTCATAAAAGTGTGCCTGGTTACTAATACTACATGTATTTGCACATTGTCTTGGAAACACCAGAAGGATTATTACTCTTAACTTGTTTTCATAATCACTTGATAAAGAAGTTAGGTATGTCAACAATTTGTAACCTAATACAAACTGTTGAGTTTGAAGCATGAAACTTCTCTTCTTTTAATTGTTATATAAGTTTTTTTATTGATCCAATAATATTTTTACATTCAACATAAATATAATACAAATATACAGACATTTATATCCATGTAACAATAATAGATCAAAGAAGAAATAAAATGGGTCTGTAGTATATAGAATAGAAAACATCAGCAATGTTCTCTTCTCTTCTTCATTACTTCTTTCATGTGTAATGCCTACATTGTACAGGTTTTGTGGCCGGTAAAGGTGTTGTGGCCTAGTAACTGACATTTTGCTGCTACTGTAATTCAAAATTACACTGAATCAAAATTAATTGGGCAAGCAAAAACAAAATGTTATCAGGTTTAAAAATGGCATTGATCTCCCACTTATTTATTAGTGAGTGAATCTTAAGAATGACCAAAAAATAGATTAGTTGCAGAAATTCCACAGATAAAGGACTTACCTCATCTCTTGACTTTTTCATTTTTTCCTGCATATCCTTTTCTTGGTTCAGTCTCTGCTTTTCAGCCTGAAAATTAAAAATAAAAATAAAATAGAAAAGAAAAAGAACATTAAAATATATCATTCAGCCAACATGATACATATCCATTTTGTTATTTTTGTTTGTCCTCTTCCTCATCTACTCATACTTATTTCCTGGACAAGTAAAGCAGATATAAATGCATTTGTACAGAAAAGGAACCCAAGCTTGAATTAGGTTTTGTGCACAGGGTCTTAATGTTACCCTTTGTTTTCTTCACACTACTTCACCATCCCATAGAATGCCAGGTTAAGTTTCCCCTTTCTTCTACTTGTCTACGTACACAATATCGCACAAACATTATTTTTGAGGGATATTGGTCCTGTAGAACCTTACGCAATGATAGTAACTCTTTTGAAGAAAAAAAAACTTAGGCAAGTGAGAATCAAGTACCGGTATCAGAAAATGGTAAAATATTTTGTTGTAGCACCCTGTACAAACATGGCTTCCCTGGATTCCATGACACCAGCGATTCATGTATTTATTATTATTATTTTAATGTATACATACATGTACACCTGTAGTTGCTTTATAAGATCCATATTGCATGGAATGTTGATAATTTTGCAGTTCAAGATTATTTTTATCTTTTTTTCTTCTTGAAACTGTTCTTGAGCTTTCACTTTGGACCACTTTAACTGCTACATGTAGATGATTTCTAATGGAACATAAATTGATGCATGCAACTATAATAATGGCTGAGATAGGAACTAACCTGTCTCTTCAAGGATGAGATCTCTTGCATTGCTGTAGCTTTCGATTCCTCCAACTCTTTCAGTAGCTGTGGAAACAACAAAAAAGGAGAAGAAAGTTATAACCCATTATCTTTATTCGAAGATAATGAACAAATGGCAAGTGAGGTGAAAAAAAGAAGCTACAAAAGAAGCTGGATTCCATTACACCAGCGATTCGTATATTCATTATTTTCAATTTCTATGTATACATACAGCTGGAGTTGATTATTAAGATCCACTGTATGCATCAACTGTCTAGATGCCACACAAAAACAATCTCTCTATGCCACACTGTACTCATCATGGTATTGATATTAATACCAAAGGCTAAAAGATTATCCAACTGATTCAAGTGCAAGATTAATCTACACTTGTGTTAAAAGGGTTGTCATGGAGCTTATCAAGACCAGAAATGGGAAATGTTGCAAAGCTGTTGAGTTGCACAGAGCAATCCTTCTGTAAACCGGTGCCTATCGTTTTGTGCAAATGTGTATGTGTGGCAAACTAGTGACCGTTCAGAGAGGCGAAGGACGCAACCAAAGTGTTAAAGACCTCTTACCATACTCTCTGGGGCCCGTTTCACAAAGCCTTTTTTCAATGACAAATGATAAAAATCAGTGATAAATCTGCTAATAACCAATTAGAAGCAAAGATTTCAGTAGCTTATAACAAAAACTGTCATTTGTGACTGATGACAAGTTTTGTGAAACACCCCCTGGTCTCTGTGTTTGAAGATACAGAAATGTGGAGTGCACTACACTTGTGTTATCTTATTTCATTGTATTTTCGCTTTACGGCACCATACATGAACAACGGTTAACAATAGAAATGATACCATGATATCTCACCTGTTTTATGTGTATTCGTTCTTTCTCCACATCTTTGTTCAGTCTCTCCATATCTCTGTCTGCAAAGAAAGAAATAAAACAAAGGATAAAGCGATGGCTCTGTGGTAAATCAGTAGTCTCGTAAAAAAAGAGGTTCTGGGTTAAAAACTGACATGATGAACTTGCATATGCCCTTTTGTAAGGTACTATTCTTCAATTACCAGGCCCCTCAGATAAGACCTTCTGCTATAGATTTACAGGTTACTATCTGAAATGATACATTTACTTGTTTTCTAGAAAGCCAGGAAATATAAAAAGACATCTTCATCATTTTTATGGATGAAATTGAGACATTACTGTGTAGATGCTCCTTTGCTACATGTAAAAAGACATTTATTCATAATCAAGTCCAGTCCAATCCAGGAATTTGCAGAAAGCGTCCCTCCCCACTGTTCTCGATACAAGCTCAGGTTTAGGGGAAAACACTCTGTTCCTCGGATAGAACGCTAACTGCAGGGCTTATGTGTAGGAGAATCACACCCTGTGCACTTCAAAAGCTACACTTCTCCCAACTAAAAGCAGGGTGTAAACCAGATGGGTGTTTCACAAAGATCCTAAGTTGAACTTATCTCTAAGTTGGACCTAACAAATATGGAAAGCCATTAGCACCTTTGAAAATATTTTGTAAAAGTCATTTTAAAAGGCATAAAATGTTGATTCAAATCATTCTTATTTTCTATTTTCAAGGAGATTTTCTTGATGTGGAATTTATAAAAAGTCTAAAATACTTGAATTTTTGGTTTTGAATGTATTTATTTTAAGGCTACAAATGGCTCTCCATAATTTTTTAAGTCCAACTTAGAGTTAAGTTTGACTTAGGATCTTTGTGAAACACCCCCCTGGTGTCTAGTGTGCCTGCATTACACAACAGGTAATCTTCCTGCAGATCTTTGTCATAGGCTCCAAAGCCCTTTTAAGATTAAACAGAAGAAGAAGAACACTCAGTTTAAGTAACTTATGAACTTACTCAATTCTTCTATGAGTTCATCTTTGCCGTCTAGAGCTGATTCTAAACCATCCACTTTCCTCTTCATGGCCACCATCTCATCCTTGAGCGCCTCCACCTCATAAACGGCGGTGGGTGTCGAAGCCTCACTCCTTGGGGCCTAGAGAAAAAAGAGAAATCTCAAATGTTACATGCATGTAAGTCACTCTTCAATCTATTCATTAACTTATTAAGACTATCAAACATATTTTTCATAGAAATTAAAAAGCAATGGTCATCGATTAGGTATTGTTTGCAATATAGAGGGCGCAAGTAGCAATAAGTAGTGCAGTAGGGCTTTAAATGAAAAAAGTTTAAACAAATGGAAAGAAACAAAAATGTTGTCAAGTTGGCCAATTACGATTATAGGCTAAAGTTGCTTAACAACATGCAACAAAATTAAATTACATTTCTGATGTCTTAAGATCTGTCAAAAGTGTAGAAGGCCTGGGGGTGTTTCACAAAGATCCTAAGTTGAACTTATCTCTTAGGGCGCGTTCATGCTTGATTTTGACGGCCAGAATCAGGCATCTGTTACACGTTTAGTTTAAAACACGGTTGCGTCTTAGCTCACTTTTGTAGAATCACCGAAAAACGGCGATCACGATCGCCGATCGTAAACTCACAAAAAGATGCGTTTACAATTTGTAAACGCGTTTAAATGGGGTCAACGCACTGACCTCTAGTGGGTCTACGTAGCATGCACAGTGAAGGTTTGCGAATCCAGCTGGAAGACCAATTAAGGCCACACACTGAGAATTGCCTGGGGGAGCCAGAGAAGTAAGCATGAACACTACATCGTGGAACTGCGATCACGATGAGCGTTTACGATGAGCGTTTCAGATCGCTCATTCTGCCTTCAAAATTTAAGCATGAACGCAGCCTCAGTTGGACTTAAAATTTATGGGAAGCCATTAGCATCCTTGAAAATATTTTGTAATTTTTTTTTAGAAGGCATAAAATGTTGATTCAAATCATTCATATTTTCTATTATCATGGGAGATTTCATGTTCTTGATGTGGAATTGATGAAAAGTCTAAAATACTCCAATTTTTGCTTTTAAATATATTTCATTTTAAGGCTCCAATGGCTGTCCATACTTTTTAAGTCCAACTTAGTGTTAAGTTCTACTTAGGATCTTTGTGAAACACTCAGGACACATATGCCATTGTAGATATGGGCTGTATGTTATAAACTGTAAAAATGATTCAATTTGATCATTAAATAACAATAGAGATAGGAATATTACAAGTTTGCGATTGTGATAAATCCCAAGCAGTTGCAACTGTCAATAAGACTGGGTCCAGCCATGAACAACACCAATAGCTTTAAATCCTATCCATGAGACAGGTTTACTCACGTTTGCCTGTTGTTCTAGTTGCATCTTGAGCATCTCGATGATGCCTTCCTGAGATGCTACCTGATTCTGTAGTGCCTTGTGCTCATCTTGTAGGGCGGCGGTGTTACTATTCTGTTTCTTCAGCTCAGCATTCATCTTTTTACTTGCATGATTCTGGGATAAACAAGAAACCATGAATTAGAATGTATGAATTTCCCCCTTTTCAGGTGCATTGATTCAAGTTATAATAATTGCACCAAATGCTTGTTTGATTCTTTTTAAACCTAATTAAATATGCTTTATAAAAATATGGTGCCTATTATTCTTCTTGTTCTTCTTTTCTTAATCTAAAACTCTCCAAATGATGAAAAAGTGAAATATGATTTCACTTCATGTAATGATGCTTATGATGCTTTTTAAATAGTTTTATTTCCATGGTAAATTAATATATTTTGGTCTTTAATTCTCTTTTTCATAAAGCTGTAAGACAAGAAACGTTTGCAATTTAAACATTTTGCAAATCATCAATGGTGGCGATATTTTGCAGCAAAAGACGTTTTGTGAATTGTATGAATTCAATCCATTATTCATTTAACTTGCAGGTAGAAACATGCAAGAATTTCAAATATTGGTGAAATATATGAAGGTTGTTTTCAAAAGAAAATAAGTACTACAATATCAAAGAATTGCTTACTGATACCTTTCATCCTGCTCTCATGAGATTAAAATACTAAAATGAAGAAAAAAACTAAAGAAATCAAACAATCTCATAATTTTTTATTTCAATTTCTGTGCATTCTTATTGATTTTGTAATCCTGGTCACAAGATGAATGATCTGCAGCTTTTTATTAGGGTGGAGCTTAGCACGCAGGTCTGAGAAAATTATTTTAAAAAATATTTTAAAATTTATGAAATATATTTAGACGTTTGAATAACAAAATATGAGATATATGCAGCCCTGCACATCAACAGGAATCAATTTATACTTCTATGTCAACCGACTTTTATAGATGAAAGGAGCTTACCTTCCAATCATGGGCGATCTTTGCGATGCTATTTGTGAGTTGTTGTCTGAAGCTTCTCCTCACTACCTCCACGCGCTAGAGAGAGAGAGAGAGAGAGAGAGAGAGAGAGAGAGAGAGAAATAAAACACATGAAAATGAATAAATCTTGGTCAAGAGATGAATGAATCTCCTTATTACCATACCAAGCTAGTCAGATGAAAAACTGAAAAACTGTAAAGCCTGAACATCTATCCTGATCAAAACATATCAAAATTATTGTTTGAGGCATCTGTACCTCTTATAGGTTTGCCTCAAAATGTTTCCTACTGCAAGCTTTCAAGGTGTTATATCCCAAGTCTAACCAAAAATCTGATTGATGCCTGAACAAAACTTCTTGAAAAGTATTTGAGTACGGCTCCTTCTTCATTTTTGGATACCCTTCTATTGTTCGATGATACTAAGCTTCACAATTTGACAAACTGATTTTGAAACTGAAAAAGAATAGTCTCTGGAATTGTCCAGGTAGTTATTGTCCTAAGGGTAATTGTCTAGATGTCAGTTTTATGAGGGTGGGGAGGGGTGTCCAAGAATTCTCTCCTACTTTTTCTCATCATTTTATTGTAGAATTCTATAGATTTCTGTAGATTTTTGTACATTTCTTTCCCATTCTATGAACACTCTTTTCACTTTGATTTTTCATTGGCCGGATCAATTTATTTCATCAGGTGCTTTAGTTGGCCGTCTAACAAAAAATAGGTTTTATTGTGTTTATTATTATCGTTATTACAATTATTATCATTATTATTATTATTATGGAGGGGGTAGTAGTCCCAGTATCAGAGTTTCTATATACTTCACTCACCTCTCGATGGGCCTTTTCCAGGGCTTCCACATGTTCGTTGATTCTGCAGTACATGTCAAGAGCTTTTTCTTGGAGTTTGTTCTCATAGTCTGCTCTCATCACCTGCTTAGCCACTGCAAGTTCTCGTTTCAGCTCCTTTGATTCCTACAAAAGATAAGAAAAAATGTAAATTTCAAAGTAAGGGAATTTTCTGTCAAAGACTTACAATCAGGTACATTCTTTGATCAATTTTACCCACAAGAAATTAATTCAGACTTAAAATTTGGATTGGAAATGATACAGAAAAAGAAATCTCCCACTCCATCCAAAGCTAACAAACCTGCTTTAGTGACCACCTGTCTACAAAGACCACATTTGTTGTTTCCCTTGAAAATGGTTTCTCATTGTATCAAGTACGAAATAAACCTGTCTACAAAAGCCAATTTTTGTGTTTCCCTTGGGCAGTCGCTGCTGACAGGTTTGACTGTATAACTAATCAATACATCTACATGTAATTTGTTTTTTTCCTGAAGAGAAAAGTAATCTATCTTGAAATTTTCTACTCTACATAAACAAAACAATTTTTTCTGTCTCCATCATTTGGGAGTGCCATGATACAAAAGCCTTCAGAATGTTTGTGGGTACTGTATAGAATAGGGAAATAGGACACAACATGTACAGTACATGTTGGTCTAGAGGGATAAACGAAAAACTCATAAAGTGAAACCTGCATACGAAGACCACTCCAGTGAGAAAACAAAATGACTTTACAGGCAGTGAGGTGACAATTGCTTTGGTATCGACTGCTCCAGATTTACACTTTATCAAATATATAGCATAAGGTTAAAGGCTGCAAATAGGTGAAAGGCTAGGTATCTGGCCTAGGGATGAAGACTTCAACATTAAAACGTTTGGTTGATATAGGTAACTGACCACCATACCATGTGTTATAAAATCTCATGGGTTTTATAAATGCTATATCTCACAATGTATAGGTTTCAATGAGGGCAATTTTCAATGGAACGTACCCCCCCCCCCCCCCGCCCCCCTCCCCCACTCCAGCAAAGCATAGAGTCAATGCTAATGCGTATTGACCTCTAGCACTGCAATGACTGCATACTTGCTGAGAGGCAGGTATAATTATACACGAATACACACACCACACACTATTGCATAGACTGCACACAATATAACTGATGTGGCCGATTAGAAAATTTGACACCAGACTTACAATTTGAATTTTTAAATTATTCTTTTTAACATCAGTAAGTAGAAAAAATTGTATTTCACTGCTATCTAGATGTCATCAATTGTCATTAAAGTACCGATTTTTAGTGAAATCAGTTGAGTTTTGTACAGCGATGATTGAAATGTTGATAATCAATAAAACAGCTTTTAATACACAGCCAGGATAGTAATGCAGCTATGTGTGCCCCTCCCCCCAAAAAGCAGTCTTTAATGACAGGGGTCTTCCTTTACGTATGGCCACTAAATTTGGTTTGACTGGACTTACCCTGAGCAAGGTCTGCAGAACGAAGGTCATCTGCTTGAGTTCCAGGATCTCAGACTCCAGGGTCTGGGAAGCCCGGTCCTGACGGAAGAACCCAACCTTCTGCTGGTCCGAGATGGAAGGCCTGGGTAGAATAGGAACAATTAGATTAGAACCCAAACGAGAGAAACCTAATCATACCACTCCAGCAAAGCATAGAGAGTCAATGCTATTAAATGCGTATTGACCTCTAGCACTGCATACTTGCTGAGAGGCAGGTATTATACACAGATACACACACCACACACTATTGCATAGACTCCACACAATAGCACCAACGTGGCTGATCGGCAAATTTGACACTGGACTTACAATTTGAATTTTTAAATTATTCTTTTTAATATCAGCAGACTAAGTTCAAAAAATTGTATTCTACTGCTATTGAGGTGTTATCAATTGTCACTTAAGTACCAATTTTGAGTGAAATCAGTTTGAGTGAAATCATCCTCATAATAAGGATCTGAGATTACAGTCGCTAACTTCACGCACGCGTGCGCACCCCTTTGTCTGTACAGTATACAATTGTATTGTAATTGTACAGCAGTTTGCTGTGAAACCTGTGAGAAAGTAAATTTTAAGTGTCTATAAAATCCTGTTAGAGGAATAATTATCTTTTCTTTGGATGGGTAGATTGCCAAATAAAAGAGGCAAGAATTCAAAATATTAGCGATTTCCCCTTAATTTTAAGTGACCGAATACTGGGCATTCTACCCTACTGCCGTAATGATCGTTTATTTCTGTACCAATTCTTCTTCCAGTTAAGTGCCGCTTCATGGTGATGAAGATAATCGCACTGGTTTTGTGTGTATATGTGGAGACTTTCACATGTCCTGTCATTCCACATTTTAACTTGTTGTTCTTGTTGTGCAGGTGCATATATACATGTGTAAGTAAAAAACATTCCCAGTCTTGTAGACATTACATCTGCATCCCACTCAAGAAGACCTTGAAGGCGTCAAGAGAGTGGTATTGGGCTGGGTCCTGTGGAAGGTTGTTCCAGTCCTTGCAGGTTCTTGGGAAGAAGGAAGAAGCATAGGTCTGACTACTGCAGTTGAATGGCCTAAAACGAGATCCATGTCCTCTTGTTATTGATGTCAGTTCAGTGAGAAAGGACTGCCAGGTAACGTCGACAAGGTTGAAACGGATGCGATACAGCATGGCAAGGCGGCTGTGAAGGCGTCTGGTGAGTAGCAATGGCCAATTCAGGTTTTCAAGCATAGCCGTTACACTGGAGGTTTGATTAAAGTCACCGGTGACGTAGCGAGCACACCTTCGTTGGACCATTTCAATCTTGTTGACATTCCGCTGTGTGTGTAGTTCCCATGCTGTTGCAGCATATTCCACCACTGGTCGGACGTATGTAAAGTATGTGGCCTGCTTGATCCGCCGTCTACAGTGTTTAAAGTTCCGTCGCAAGAAGCCTGTCACAGAATTAGCCTTCTTGACTGTAGTATCAACATGACTATTGAAGTTGAGCTTCTGATCGATGTTGATTCCAAGATACTTGGCGGAACTCACTAATTCCAGGTCGTGCCCGTGGATGTTATACAGGCCTAGGATTTGTTTCCTCTTGTTGGTGACTCTCAGAGTCTGGCACTTGGACGGGTGGAATTCCATCCGCCACTTTCTCTCCCATTCCTGCAGCCTGTCAAGATCTTCCTGAAGATTTGTACAATCTTGGACTGATCTGATGCGTCTATATAGCATACAGTCATCAGCGAAGAGGCGTATGGTTGAGTGCTTGACACTGTCTGGTAGGTCATTGATGTATATGAGGAAAAGCAGCGGGCCGAGAGCACTACCTTGGGGCACTCCAGATGTAATCTTGGCCTCGTGACTACGCTGGCCCTCCAGTGTGACTTGTTGAGTGCGGCCACTAAGGAAGCTTTCGATCCATTTAAGAGTAGTGCCACGTATACCATAATAGTCAGCTTTGAGGAGGAGTCGTCGGTGAGAGACTTTGTCAAACGCTTTGGCAAAGTCTAACAAGACGCAGTCTATCTGCTCTCTATCATCCAGTCCTTTGGCAAGGTCATTGATGGCAAGGATGAGTTGTGTTTCACACGATCTTCGCTTCCTAAAACCATGTTGTGAGTCTGACAACAGGTTGTGATTGATCAGGTGATGTATGACAGCACAATGCACTATGTGTTCACATAGTTTTGATAAGATTGCTGTCAGTGAGATTGGTCTGTAGTTTGCTGGAGATGACTTACACCCTTTCTTGTGGATAGGAACAACATATGCTTTCTTCCAGTAAGAAGGAATTTCGCCTTGAAGTAGGGAGGCCTCAAAAAGCAAACTAATGGCAGGTGAAATCTGATCAGCTGTCACCTTGAGGAGTCTAGCAGAGATGCCGTCTGGCCCAGTAGCTTTATGTGGCTTCAGTTTCTTCAACAATTTCGCTACGCCTGCTCGGCTAACTGATGTATCATCCATGGCTGGATAAGGACTGGGTCCCAGGTCTGGTAGAGCTGTGTCATCATCATCAGTGGTGAACACCGAGGCAAACTGCCTGTTCAGGATACTGGCTTTCTGCTTCGGGTCACAGTGAAGTATGTTGCCTTCCTTCAATGGTGCTACTCCCATGTGATCACAGCGCATGGTTCTCACAAGGGCTCCAAGACGCTTGTTGCAGCCTGGATCATTGTCAATCAAGTCAGCAAGGTACTTGTTGTAGGCTTGTCTACACAACTTTTGTGTGGTCGTCTTTATAGCGTTGTAGCGATGCCAAGCTTTGATTGTTGCTTTTGCATCACTACCACGCATGGATGAGATCCTCTTAGCCTTCCTATAGGCTCTGGCCTTCTTGCGACATATGCGTTTCGTGGCGGTGTTAAACCAACACTGGTTTGGCCGTGTCGAAGTCATCTTGGTTGGCACATGGTCCCTTAGAATTTTATCCAGGGCTTGTTGGATTTCAGCAAAGAGAGTTTCAACTGGAGATGTTGTGTCATGAGAAGCTACAAAGCAGTCTGCCCATGCTTTAGCATCTGTATGAATACCGTCAATGTCTGCCTTCTTCCAGAGGAATATCTCCCTACGGATAGGTTTATTCCTATACGCTCTGACAGACAAATCCATGAATACCACATCGTGGTCACCGAGTCCCGGCATAGGCTCACACTGCCCAACCAACGTTGGGCGATTTGTGATGATGACATCGAGTGTGTTAGATCCTCTTGTTGGGAAGTTGACAATCTGACCAAGTCCTACATCTGCCAGAGTCTGCAGGTATGTCTCACTTAGGGATTTCCTGTATTGATGGGATCTTATCTCTTCTGTCTCCCAGTCTATATCGGGCAAGTTCATGTCTCCTCCGATGCACAACGCTGTGCCAGGATTAGACATGCACAGTTCTCGTATGAACTGGTTCATATTGTCCATATAAGGTTGGTTGGTGTTTGGAGGTCGGTAAACAGCTCCAAAAATAACACTGTTGTTGTTGTTTCTGTTCACGATCTTTGCAGCAACCACTTCAGCTTCACTAGTCACCTGCACCTGATAGCTATCAAGGCTTGAGGAGATGGCGAGCAAAACTCCACCATACCCGTTATTACGATCTTTCCTATACACATTGTAGCCAGGCGGGAAGATTTCTCCTTCACTTATGCTCGGTTTGAGCCATGTTTCACAGCCCATGATTACATCTGGCTTAACTGCATCCACAAGGCACCAAAATTCCTCCCTCTTTGAAACTATGCTCTGGAAGTTAATAGTCAGAGTTTTGAAGCGTAGTTTACCTTGGGGAGACAGGCTCTTCGAAGGAGAGGACGAAGTCTGTGGTGGTCCGGGAGAAGCAGAACTTGAAGTTGAGTAGCTGCTGTCATGTGTTAAGCTTGATGACTCGCTGCTTCTGTCAGTGTCCGATGATCCGGACATTAGTAAAGTGTCAAATAGGCTGGATGAGAACTTAGGCAATCCACAGTTACAGCATTCCCATGGTGTATCACATCTTCCGAGAACAGCCAAGAAACTATTGCCAATGTTTACACAATCAGCATGGAACCAGGTGTCGCATGATTCACACAGTATACTTGCTTTGGCTCCTTTATAAGACGTGCATGCCTTGTGGCATTCACCACATGGAAACTTGGGTTTCCTAGGTCCGGGATTTATTTCCACATCACCACTCAGTAGCAATACTGATATCAGTATGAACACGCACACAAACATGGCTGCAGGGGTTGAGTTACCAGCCAATGCCATGGTGAGACTTAATATTAGAATCTCTACCCTCAATGCAGCACAAAAATGGCAATGTTGTGATGCGCCCGAGATTCATACCTATGGTGCACTAATAGTATCACCCACCGACACTAGATTGAGTTACCAGCCAGTGGCATGGTGAGACTAAGCATACAAGATAATGTATTATGATATAAATACATACATACATGTACATGCATGCAGATTCAATGGCAAGCCATGGTATGACTCCAGTACAGCATGAATAGTAACAACTAGTGAACCAGCTTGAATATATATAGGTGGGCACAGTATGTGAAGTCAGTCCAAAAAGCCAAATCAAGTACCACGAAGTAGCTCAAAAATACAGGACAAAACTACTCCATTCCATCCCAAGAGTATGCTCACACTAAACTAGTCATGTATAGCATCAACATTCATGCAACAAATCCATTTATACCAGCAAAAAGATGTCAAACAAGATCAAATTTGACTGCACAAAAACAGGACCTGTGTACTGCTCCACACACACACACTAACAGGAAATCCGTACTACTAGGCAGCTCTGTTTGCCATGTTGAATCAACAATATTACAACATCATCACATGGGATAAATTGGGTCAGGATGAGGAATCACCCTTTTGGCTTTTCCCCATCAAAGTCAAACTCAAAGACTTCTTCAAATTATAATTTCAAGTGGTTGTCCGGCCAGACGAGCCAAACAACACTGTACGTCGAAATTGTAATTACTACTTCTTTACATTTCGAAAAAAATTTGCCCCAACCCGCTGTTTGAATCGTTTTCCTATGCAGGCTCTGGAGCTCCGACGCCTTCGACGGCGGAGCTCCCTGGGTTTAGAGCCCGCCCGGCGTTGGGCGGCGGCATGGGCCAGGCTGGGCTGGATTCCAGATCAAAGAATGCCATGACCAACTACTCATTTTCCACTTGTTAGAACTCACTACATACTTTTAATGGTTTTCATAATTAACGTAAGAACTTACTGGATGTCATCCATATCGTAGGGTACAACAGCTCCATCATTTGCAGTAATATTAGCCAGTTTTTTAGTCGTTGCCTTCGACTTCGGTGGATTGTTGTCACCATCCATTTTGTTGTCAAGAAAAACTACACAGCCGAGAAAATGGTGATACGCCATCTACGGTCGGTCGACGCAGAATTCGAAAGTGATCGTGGAGAAGGATCGTTGAACCTCGGGAGGAGGGGAGCGGGGGGCGTCATTTTTTTCTGCGGCACAGATTGGGTTTTTTTTTTTTTTTTTTTTAAAGAGGTCTTGATTTAACCCTAATCTTAACCCTAACCCTAAATTTTCCCATAGGCTCAACACGCACCTAACCCCAATCTGTGCCGCAGAAAAAAATAACGCGAGCGGGGGGTGGGGGGGGGGGGGGCACACATCAAAGGCCAATCAATCTGGGCACCCGTAACACAAATCTTACCAATGGATTAAAATGATTATTACCACTGACTGCACATAGTGACCAGTGTAATAAGTAGCAAACATCAATCGTATCTTCGACTGCTAAGCTCTGTGTTACTTTACCCACTGGAAAGGCCAATTCAACAACATTCCAAAAATGCTATCTTTAATTTGTTTACATTATTTTCTTTTACTTTTGAAATTCTTCTTTTTTCCTAGACAGATTTTAATACTGAACAAAAAAAAATTAACAAAATGCGAGAACCCTTTTTCAAGACTTGCCACATTTTAAAGTGGTAATCTTTATATATATATATATATATGATTTATATGATATCTCACTGTCTAGACGTTCTTTTCTCTCCCGCATTCCGTTTAGTCTGAATCTGTCATCATTATCTCACTTTCGATTTTATGTTTGTAACCCCCTCCGGCGTCTTTTTTTTCAACCTTTGACTCACCCTTTGGCCTTTTGTATCATCCTCAATCGTGCTCACGATTTTAGACTTGGAAAGGGGGTACGGATAGAGAGAGAGAGAGAGAGAGAGAGAGAGAGAGAGAGAGAGAGAGAGAGAGAGTGAGAGAGAGAGAGAGAGAAAGGGGAGGGGTTCTTACTGTTGATAAAATGCGAGAGGACAAGGTCATCAAGGGGGCGGGTTGGAATGGAGGGGCCTAAATATCATTTTCTTTCACGTTGCTTTTCCCCTCTTTCGTCAATGTTCTTTTTTCCTTTCATTCTATCTGTCTATATTTCTGTTCTTCCTTTCTTTCATTCTTTCCTTCTTTCTTTCTTTTCCCCCCTTTTCTTTGTCCTTCTCCTTTTCCGTGATTCTTCCCCCTTTTTCTGCATAATATGAGTCATTAATTTTGGCTTGGAAGGAGGCCGTTGCGCGCAGGCGCGTACCCGGGGGGGGGGGGGGGGGGGGTGTGTTTTGGAGGACCCCCCCCCCCTTCAAAAAAAAAAAAAAAAATTGTGGTAATGGGTGACCCCAAAAAGCTGACCTTACCCCCCCCCCCCCCAACTAAACAAAATATAGATTGGTCAAATTTTCGAATTATGGGACACACACACAAACAAAAATGTGCTCTTACCCCCCCCCCCCCGTTTATTCAGCGGCTGGCTGAGTTGTTGCGAAATTTTCGGCCCGATTTAAAAATGTTAAACCCCCCCCCCCCCCCCCCCCTTGAAAAAATCGTACGTCACTGGTGGGGCGTATCCTATTATTGGACATAATTATCACTGTAACAACACCTCCCTGCTGTAACATAATTAAGAACAGACACCGTTTATAGGACTTGAAATCTCTGAAAAATCAAGAATAAACAACGAACACCTGTTAATTATCTTTGATCGATCTTTATTTGCTTGGGATAAAAACATGACAATTTTGTAAAGAAACCTTTTAAAAATTAGAAATGTGATTGAATACTTTTTTTTCCTGAAAATAAGTAAGAAGAAAGACTTGATAGAAGAGACTATTTTGGAAAAAAATATGCATTACCAATTAACATGTTTCCCATAACATAAATCTAATATAGTTTGAATTGGCGTTATTGGAATGTAGATTTTTTCATTATGCACAAAACAGCATGAACGAGTGGAGAACCGGGTGAAAGGGCGCCCTTAATGTCATGAAAAACATTTGAATGACTGATTTGCCAAAACGAAATAACCATATTTAATGATGTATTTTACACTACATTACCCTTATCTTCAATATTCTCGAACTATTTTAACGCAAGTAATATTGCTAGTTTCTAGTTTGCTAGTTTGTTCTTCCATCTACAGGAATTTGGCTTCAAGTCTAAAGTTGTCATAAAGCTTTCTTTATAGCCCTTTGGAGATTATCAGAAGAAGAGAAAATTCTTTGTTCAAAGATGCATATTAGTGGGCTCTCATTAGGGAATTTGACACCATTCGGGTGTTTACCCAATAACAGGTGTCGTCTTTTACCACAAGTATTAGTCTTCAGTTTTATGACCAACAGGCCTTATGTAATGCTTTGCATTTTCCACCAATCGCTTCATATGGAAAAGTTCCTTTCTTACATTTCGCAGAACCGAAGACTCTCCGAGGGACTGGGTGGTATGGAACTACGGAGTTGCTGTGTGCGAGACCTACTGCACTTGAAAACTGACGACCTTCCCTTTTAATATAATTATGCTTGGTTCCAAACAATAGTATGCGTAATTAAAGATTGGCCTACAACTCATTTTCTTGAATTAATTCAATTTAATTTATTGAAATTTTCCCCAGATACTAAGCATGCTTCGAACTAATAAAAACCCGTGTTGGCCTGAAAAAAAAGTTATGCAGGTCCGAAATCCATTTCGAGTCCTGAGCCAGCTATTTCCTTGTTGTAAAACTCGTCAAATCGTTTGTTTTGATCGTCTGTGAAATAATTCTTCCAATCTCCGACTATACCTATAGTGATAAAACGCAAAACAAACACTCGCAAATTATTATTCAATAAAATCTGAGAATGTATACTATTATTTAGATCTATTAGGAATAAATCATTGTCAAAACCATTCCGTAAATTGCAGTAAAAATAATAATTATTCCACCTTTATGACCAACATAGTAGAAGAAGAAAAGAAAATGATAGAAAGGGGAAATAGAATATGGGTAAATAAGTTAAAAATATACCGCGGCTGCAACAATGATAGCTAGTGAATAAGTCCTCTTATGATGTTACTGGAAACAGAATCAAGTAAAAAGTAAAAGATTAAAGAGAAGGTTGAGTTCTGGGGAGAGGTAAAAAATAATTTTGAAAGTGTTATCATTGTTATTATGCAAGTGTGGAAGAACATCAGAGAGAAAAAAAATTCACGACATTGTTTTCATTCTTAGTTCTTATTTTTTCCGATTAGAGAGGAATATTTTTTTTCTTTCTCATGAATGACTTATTTTCCTCAGGCACTCTTAAAATCTGGATTCGAGATAATAGTTTCCTTTCTGACATTCCTCTGGAGGGAAAAAGGGGGAGGGGTCATCTTGCCCCTGTATCAATTTAAAATAGCTTACCTTTTCTCATGAAGGATCTACTTCCCTCAGCCACTTCACCCTTAATTAAAAAATCAGGATTCGCTGACGGACTCTTTTTCATCGCTTTGAATGTCGACGCGTCCGATATCTTCTTTATGACGTCAGCGGTGAAAGACTTCCCCATAAATTCGACGATTTGCTTGACGGCTGCTGGAAGATCCTACCAATGAGAAAAGCGAATAAAAGGGGCATTGAACTTTTGATAGCCTCATTAACTTGCTCTCTTAGATGATTGCAAATCCACTGGAAGTTTGTGGTCCGAAATTCTCTCTTGAGCATGGATCCCGCTATTTTGAACCTGGATTTCGACCCCAAACGAAGTAATCGCTTCTATGACTCCTAAAAGAGTGGATTTCCACTCCTGTGCTCTATGTCATAAAATATGTTATCAATTTTAAGTAATAATAAGTTACAATAAGTATTATAAGCTACTGAAATCGTGGCATTTGATAAGATGAGAACAAATTTGGCAGAGACATTTAGCATTTGTTAGTGACACCAAGTTTTATTAAACAGGGCCCTTTACTTTATAGGTATAATGCATGATCAAAATCAAAAAAGTTGCTTTGACAAACTATGAATATATAATAAAGTCAGAGTTCTATGCAGATTAATTTTTTGTTGGATTCATACATTTCCTGATAAAATTTCCTGACAAAATGTCTTCATAATTTTGGCACAATACGGGGAAAATAAACATATACATGAACAGAAAAATGAAGTAGTTTCGCGTAGGCTACTTTGGCAATAATTCTCACCTCACCTAATGTTGCAAAAAATTTCATATGAAAATAGGCATTAAGATCTTAAAAATATAGCAAACAAATTACAAAAGCGAAATCATTGCCTTTCCATAAAATAATTTGGCAACATGGTGACACATACAAAATCAATGTTCTTTCATTAAAAATAAAATTATTTTTACAACATCTTTCCAATGTATGTCTATTTCCGATACCCGATTATCAGTTGGAAGTGGCCAGCAATAAGATGAGAATATACTCAAAACATGAAGAACATATCGATTTAGCCATCCATAAGAACGCCATTTTGTACACTTAGTTTAGTTGATCATTACGCACAATTAACAAATTAGATTAAACAAACAAACAAACTAATTATAACTTACTAATTAACATACTAACTTACTCTAAACTAACTAACTAACTAACTAACCAATAAACTAACCTTCTTCATATCCTCGTACTTCAGAAAGAGAACATTTGGATGGTTCCTTCTCTTCCACCATGGCAACACGTTTTCAAACCACGATCCTTGAGGAACTATTGTATCAAAAGAAACGGGAGTGGTATAAATCATTATGAAAACCCATAACGACACAGTGATGGAGTTCTCTAGCACAGTCGTCGAGTCGAGACATTGATAATATTGTTTTTTTTATACCGTAATTAGGTTATATTCCACTATGGGACGCTAATAAAATTCTTATTAACATTGCCTCAGATAAGAGCCTACTTGGTATAACTGCCTAAAGGTAAAAGCAAAAAATAATCAATATTACCACTATAGTATACGGTAGTGACGAATGATGGAGGGGGGGGGGGGGCACGTGTCCCACGATAAAACATAATTTGGCATTCCTTGATTGCAAACATAAAAGTCAGACTTTAAACCGAATCCTTGATCCGCTCCAACATAATGGGAGTGAATTATTGCGTCGAAATGTCTCTTAAGTGGTATTAAGGGGGCAAATACTTACCCCTGCCGGCGAGAAACTCTTCAAAGAAGACGTCCCAAGATTCGTATGAGGGTAATGCGTCTATGAAGTGACAGAAATGGTAATAGGATACCGCGGCATCTTTTGGATTTCGAGCAACGTAGAGCACCTTGACATTTGGAGGACAAAAGGAAAAGTTGGACAGACTGATTATGAGAAATCCTTCAGGGTAGGCGTACCTTATGACCACAACATAGTAAATAGGTCATTCAGGACCCCGTTTCATTGCGAGTTGCGATTGATCCGGATCAATCGTAAGTCCTCTTTTCAATCGCAAGTTTGCGTTTCCCTATATCTTTTATGTGCATAGTTGATATTGATATAAATCACAATTCACAAATAAGTTGCGATTAATCGCAAATGTTCATAAGACGGGGCTTAGGTCTCGATTAAGTATCATTTGAACGTCTGAGATTGAACGAATCCCTACAGAACACAGGAATGACATGAGTGACAAGGAGTTTACTTCGTCATGAAATAGATTAAGATATTTTGTAAAACAGGATTGTCTATTAACCCTAATAAGGCCGGGGGGGGGGGCATTATGCCCCCCCCCCCCTCCACCATTTTTCTGATCGCTCGGGAACGCATATGGATGGCGCCCCGCCGCTCGCTGACTTTTTTTTCGAGTCTTGCGCAACTTTTAAAAGAATTTTTTTGAAAATTGGACCTACGGTTACAAGGTCACGTGACCTTTTGTCTTTGCATGTCAGCCCTTGTCGTATAGTAGTAAAGTAATATCGATAATCTACAAAAGTGACTGTAACTCTTGTAAAATATCAATACCAACCTTTGCTTTAGGGTCATCAGTGCTGACATCGAGAGGGAGGAATTTAGGTATAGACAATGAGTCCTCATGAACCGTGGCGATGGCATCTTTTCCGCCTCGTCGATCTTCAATGGAGCCGTCTGAAAATGTTTCACAAATTTGATTATGATAATCATGATAATCTTTGTGATACCGTTTTCTTTTAAGAAACATGTCTTTATCAAATGTCGCTCATGACTGCAATAGATTTGTCAACATAAAATATCAGAAAGAATAAACTTTTATAAAACAGGAGGATGTGACGAAACGGAACCCTTTTGCTGCAAAACAATGTTTTTCCATCAATTATCAAATGATATATAAACTTGTTGTTTTTAACATGTAATTACATTTGATCGCAATAATCTTTTCATTAGCAAAAACATTCGCGGGCACAGCTACAGGCTCATCTACAGGTACAATTATGGTCCACATTAAGGTTCACCGGGGGGGGGGCGTCCAGTGTCCCCCTGCCCCTGAATACGCTATACTAATTATGTAACAGGGAGAAAATGACATACCTCTGGGTTTTTACTGTCCATACAAAGCTCGATAAACGGAATCATCTTCATGATATGAGAGCCCTCTAGTTTCGAATTGTCTCCATCATGTTTGATCAGTAGGGATATTTGTTCAGCCCATGCTGTCCCTTCAGAAAGAAAAAAATCGAGAGATTAAAAATAGCTCTTTAAGATTGGTAGTTTCACTTCACATATATCACATGGGAAATCCTCGAGCTGTGAGAACCAAGATATATAGACTATCAGGAAATCGACCCAGGGTAGTCGTAATAGCCCTGTTCATCACATATTATGATGTAACTTTAAACCTGCTTTAGTGACCACCTGTCTACAAAGACCACCAAAATAGCTTTTTAAGATTGGTAGTTTCACATAAAAATCACATGGGAAATCCTCGAGCTGTGAGAACCAAGATATATAGACTATCAGGAAATCGACCAAAGGCAGTCGTAATAGCCCTGTTTATCACATATTATGATGTACCTTCAAACCTGCTTTAGTGACCACCTGTCTACAAAGACCACCTGTCTACAGCAAGCACATTTTTTGTTGCCCTTTAAAATTGTTTCTCATTTAAAAACATGTACTAAAGGAACCTGTCTACAAAGATCCCTTTTTGTGTTTCCCTTGGCGGTCGCTGTAGACAGGTTTGACTGTATAATATTACAGAGAAGTATAACGTAATCTGAACATGATTTGTAAAGACAGTACAATTTTTTAAAATTCTGGCAATCGTGTTTTCTCCAAACTCATTAAAAAGCCATATGGTAAACTTTTCTGCTTTTCAAGAAGTATAAATATCATACATAGGCCTAATATTTCTATCAGAGACATGGACTTCAGCCCTAAAAATATCTACCGCTGTACATACTCAAATAACAAAATATCACTCGAAAAAGTTAACATTGTTTCTACTACTCAGTAATTTGTCAGTAAATGATACAAAAACTAATCATCACTTTTTAACAGAATGTGTTGGTACCTTTAACGTGTATGCCTATTCATTGAAATTGTGACGTCGCGACGCGTCGTCGGTTTAACTAATTATACATGTACAGAAGAGTTCAGCGGTTCGATATTTACATTAAGTTGTGTAAATAAAGCGATCAATGGAAGAAAAGATAAGATTGTTGAGCGTTTCTTTAAAATGACATTTCATTTGGATTCAGCATTGTCACCGTGTGCTTCGATTATCCTTGGACAAAGGGGGGGGGGGCGGTGAGGTACTTATGCATGTTTAAAAGGTAACGGGGTATTTATTTAGGTGTGAAGTCGATTTCTTTTCCTCTCCTTCCTCCCTTCCTCATCTTCCACTTTCTCAATCCCTTTAAATGCATTGGTCATTGGTCTGCAGTAGCGTAGATAAGTGTGTATGTGTGAGTGTGTGTGTGTGTGTGTGTGGGGGGGCACGCGCCCTCAACCATACAACAAGTTGATGGACCAAAATTGTTACTTTTTATCAAGAAAAAACGGAGACAAATACTAATTGGATGAAGACAGTTGCCCTTTGGCCAAATTGTTATTGACAAAATTGCCTTCATGGTTTTTAGACTACACGATGACTGGACATCGTGTACAGTGGACAAGCAGTGTATTACCAAATGGTAATGTAACATAAATGGATCAGTATTGGCTCTATGTCTACTGGTTATTAGACGAAATGATAATTAACGAAGGCGTGCATGCATGCAGTGGACCTGTGGGAATGGACTAAATGAAGTTAGACGAGCTAGGTATTAATTTGATTAAATAAAGCGGCAAGGGACATGAATGGTACTGGTCACAAATGTCTAAGTGGCAATAAACCGGTGTTCTATCCTGTACCTGATTTTGGATATGTAACGATGAAAAAATCATCAGACTTGACTTTGAACTGTCGTACTCGATCAAGCGCCCTCTTTGGCATGAGATGTGCCATGATCACGCCTTCGTGCTCGTAGCACTTCTCGACCACGCAGTCGGGAACCAGCGAAGAAAACCCATTGCTCGTCGAACCTGACATTGATGGAAAAGAAATCCAAGATGTACACTTTAATGTATTATCGTTATATATCGTGCGCTTTACATCTTATGCACAATGAAAAGGCGCTTTTAAAATCGAATCTTAATACCTTAATCACAGATGACAAGTAATAATAATAACAATAATATTGCTAATAATTGGTATTTCTACAGCGCCGTCTATCTATATACCTAGACATTCTATTTCGAGGCGCACTAATTATTACCCCGGCTTTAGCTTTACTGCCATTACAGCGCTCCATGCAGCATTTCAAGGAATTAATTCCTGCCAGGTACCCACTTACATCACGTGTGGCAAATGAAGTATCTCATTATTAACACAAAACTAAACAAGGGAGAAGTAAAACTCGGCTTTCATGAGGATGGTGAAGAGCAAAATTATCTTTGTCAGTTATTTTTTGCTAGTCTTTATTACTTTTAAACAAAATAATTCTGTGCGGAAATCTGTAGGTTTGTATTGAATTAAAATTGTCATTCTATAGGGGTCATATGCAGGGGAAGGATGCAGGATTTTTCTCTTAAAATGATAATTTAGATTAAAACAAATATCCCCTTCCCTCTTCAAGATGATACGCTTGTGCAACATAATTTATTAGCAAATGTTCGCGTTCTAAATCTGTCTGAAAGAATATATATATATTACGAACCTTAACATTACCTCGTTACAAGGTTAACGAAAAATACATGTTGTCAAAACTTATATACTTAACATCGTTTTCATGAATGAAAAGCATACATGGATAACCGGGAGCTGAGGCTCCCCCCCCCCCCGCGTATTGGACTTTGTCCTTTCGTTCTCACTTACACAGAAGACACATTTTATGCTAATCAAAGGTATATTCATGGTGCAACCGTAAGCCTACTGTATATCTCCATCACCATACCAGCCGGTACTTACAAGTAGATAGCTAGCATCTGTTATTATTCTCGTGGATGAGTATTAAAGTATTTTCACACGGTATAAGTCTGCTATGTTCTGCTGTTGACACTACCAGTTTTAATTGATTTTCGTCATAATTTATTTTAAAAAACACATAAATTTGAAGTGCTACACAGCCAAAGTGACATTTTGATAAAAGAAAACCCTGTAAAATTGATGCGAAAGTGCCGTTCACATAATAATCAATATCATAATTAACAGATCGTGTGCACCTACCTTTCGACATGTTTAACCTGAAATTCAGACGCAGATAATAACAGAAGTGAAGTCCAATTAAGTAATGGTCTTTTTCCAAGGGCTTATTATCTTTTATACGACAGTCTGTTGAGTACAACTGTCACATACATTGAATGCATGTGAATAGAAATATCCACAATGATTAAGCAATAATTTTTGCTATTTGCCCAGACCATCGTCAGTAGGATCCACTAATAGTACTAGCAAATACGGAGAGGCTAACACAGTTTATTCAGTGTCACGTAATAGTGTTGTCACAGGTGTTTAGAACGGGTAGGGGGGGGGGGGGGGCATTGTTCGAGCAAAAAAAGGGACAAGATGGCGTATTTTATAAGTTATTTTCAACGTAGTTCAGACACAAACACACACACACACGCACACACGCACACACTATACTAGTCATATTACTTAAGATTTAAAAATACACCGATTTTTTAAATTTCAATAATAAAAATGATAATAATCAATTAAAGACAGGTCACCACGTGTAAATGGGAGTTAAATTTTTTTTTTAAATTGAAGATGATTTCCAGCAAAGTTTTTGTGAGTTTGTCTTTTATTTTACTGGTTCAAACAATAATTCTACTGGAGGACTAACAATCCAGAATGAATCACATAGCCATGTTCCCTCGACTCTAAAGTATAGCTGTAATAATGAAACACGTTTGGAACTTAACATAATTAACACAGCACAGCACAACAAAACACAAAACAACACAGCACAGAAACCAGATACCACAAAACATCCGTATCCGGACACGAACCCCCTGGACCGTTCACCCCGGATAACGGATGGTTATCCGGGGGTGGATATCCAGGGGGTAGGTGTCAACACCAACACAACACAATACAGTGCGCCCCAGAAAAAAAGAAACCGAGAACTATCGATGTTTTATCATAACTTAATCACAATTATAATTGATAATTAATAATTGATTCATTCAACTCATAATTATGATGCATATTTTACGCATGAGTGATTAAAAACAATTGAAGAGAGGATACAAAAAAGTCATTTGGCGGGCAGTATCTGAATTTTAAAGAGAAAATTACATTACTAGAAAGTTTATTTTCTGCACTTTCATATGTTACCTCAATCAAGAAAAATGAAACAGGATTAACATAGTTTTGTTTGTTCAAAGTTATGCTTGGATTTCCATAATTTGATTTAACGAATTCGTTTTCACTGGCTGCTTGTCGTAGCAACAAAGAGATTTGACAACAGACTTAACTCCGTTTCGTCGACGATCAGCCATACATGAAGTCTTTCGTCTTCTTTGTGACTGCAGGA